TCTCTCACACACATACCCCAACACTTGCACCTCATCTGTTTCCTTCAGCTATATCCTTGTGTCCAGAATTACTGCAAAACTTGTTATGAGTCTAACAGTGTAGCTTATGTCTTTGATACAGGAAACTTTTGCCATTTTCATCTTTGGAGCAGAGTTTGCCTTAAGAATCTGGGCTGCTGGGTGTTGCTGTCGCTACAAAGGATGGAGAGGGAGACTCAAATTTGCCAGGAAGCCTTTGTGCATGCTGGGTAGGCGTATGCTCTCTACTACTGTTCCCTGTTATGTCCTTTTCCTTCTGAGCCAGTGTGGGGGGATGTCCAAGAACCAGTGAATGGCAGTGCAAAGAGCCCTGAAATTAGATCTGCCCTTTGGGCTAGGACCTGTGTCCTGCTTGGAGTAGTTATTTGAAGTACTCAGCAATAATGATTAATTTGAGAGACATTTGGGTAGCTGGTCAGTGAGAAAAAAATGGATCCTTCTACCATTCAAACACATTTTCCTTGTCCTGAGTCCCACTGCATTTTTCTTAAGGTCATCCCCAAATATACCTTGTCTGCTTTCAGTTTCAAACCGCTTCATATCCCAATCCTATACCATCTTCCCTAGTCCTCTTTCATATTCAAATGTTGTGTTTTACCTTCGTAATATTGGTCTGCATTTGCAAACAAGTATCTTTGTGATTTCATCCATGTTATTTTTCAGGCTTGGAAGGAACTGCCTATAACTCTCCATAAAACTACTCATGATTTATGTTTGAATCCCTTCCTAAAACTCCCCATTATGTCCACAAACCAACCAGCCAATATTTAGGAGCTCACTCTGCCCTAAGCAGCTGTCATGCGCATCCACATTCATTCACTGTTTTCAGGACTCCTTCATTTGTTTCAATGCTCTTCAGGCCAAGCGCTAGCTTTTTGTTCCTTATTTGTACAGCACATAGCACTCTGGGGAGCTGTGGTGTTGCAGCTATATGAATACATGTCACTCTATTCCCTCTCCCTCCTTTTGTTCATTTTGTGGGTCTAAAGGGTAGACAAAATTGGAACAAATTTTCCTTGTGCATCTGTGCTACTTTCAATCTAGTAGTGCTCCTTTGGGTGCTACTGTTGTATAAATACTTCTTATACTTTTAATAACATTGTGAAGGCAGTAGAGCATGTTGTGAGCAAGTGGGATACTGTCTCATGCCTTCTCGGTAAAAGTGTCATCTCACTTCTGAGAATGAATCTTCACTGATATCTGGGTAAAGAACAGAAAAGTTCCCACTGGATTTATTAATATCATCTTTTGGTTGGCACAAGTTTGTTTTGAGAATGATTGAAAGTGAAATCTGAAATCCATCCAGTGCCATTCTTTTTGACTGGAAATACAGTATGAAGACAATTTAAAGACTGAGTGCTCGGAGAATGTTTGAAGCCTTTTGGTACCACTTTTTTCTTGTATATGTATAGGACCAAAAAGCAGGGGGGAAACAAGGAAAAGAAAGAAAAAGAAATAAAACAAGAAGAAGTGATGTGATTTGCATTTCTAACCTCTTCAGTTGATCAGCAAATTGGCCCTGTGAGCACTTACAAAAAATTGTAGTACTGGCTTTGAGATTTTAATGGGAAAACTCAGCTAAAAGAACAAAATACTAGATGCACTATCAAAAACTGAATTTCTTATTTGCTGACCTGTTCACTATGGTGTTCCTGTGGGACAGATGAATTGAAGGTTGTTTTTCTGTCAGCATTTGGACACTGTTTCTGTGCATCCCTAAGCTAGCTCAGACAGTGTCTCAAGTCCGGTGCATTGATCTGTAAATAGATTACGAGGCTTTCTGGTGTGTTCTGTGCATGATGCCGACTGTGTGGCAGGTGCAGATATCTGTTTAATTGGCAAGAGAAGGGATTTTTTCAGGCAGCTTTAAAATTTTCCTAGGGAAATTTGCAGCACAACCAGATGGGATTAAGAAGCAGGTGATGGGGCCACTTTTGTTGGCAGGCTTTGTTCTTTTTGCCTTGCAGATATCTTTGTGCTGATTGCCTCAGTGCCAGTGGTTGCTGTTGGGAACCAAGGCAATGTTCTGGCCACATCTCTCAGAAGCCTCCGCTTCCTTCAGATCCTACGGATGCTCCGAATGGACAGGCGGGGCGGCACGTGGAAACTTTTGGGATCAGCCATTTGTGCACACAGCAAAGTAAGGGAGGAGCTTGCATGGCTCAGCTGGGTTTGGGGGAGTGACATAGAAGGGAAAGAGAGGGCATGCACAGGTACAGCAATGCCTTGGGATTATGTCTAGTAGTTCAAGCAATAGTTTTGTCCTTTCAGCTTTGTTCCTTCTTCCATTCTCTGAACAATTTCTGCCCTTGTTTTACCTTTCTCTACTCAATAGTGGTGCTGGGAAGTGACAAGAGAGTGTTCATTCCCACACTCTTTACAATAGGAATTTTGCCTTTACACTGAATGAGAGCAGGGACATCCCTTTAACGGTGAATTATGTTGAAATCTTTGACAGAAATGCCTCTGTAGTTGCAACATGTTTGTAGTGGCTTCTCAGACTTGTCTGATCAACAGATGGAGCAGGACTCCGGAGGGATGGAAAGAGGCTGGTTAGCAGAAAAGTGGTTTCAGAGGAAGCTACTGGTATAATTTCTGTTTGGAAGCATGGGTCAGACAATACAAAGATGCACACAGTGTGAACCCAGACAGACAAAATTTCTAAAATCGTCTTCACTTGGTATAAATTGATGCTATAGCCAGACATATCCTGTCTCGCACCAGACAGATATGTTCTGTTCTTGCATTTTCACCAAACATTATTACAAGTTAAAAACTATCTGCATAAAAATCCTCTCTAGATGAGATTTCTCATCTGCACAGGGTGTAGAAAAATTGCATATACTCTATGCTACATACTGCTTTTTCTTATCCATGAATGACATTCCTGACATTTTAGGGGTTTTTGAAAATTAAAATGCCAGCTGGCATAGCATAATTAGACTTTGATTCTTTGTAGTGGCTGATAGGGATACCCACCCTGCTTCATTTCATACCAGCTTCTGTTTCTTCCCCATATAAACTTGCTGCAAGGCAGGTGGTACATAAACACTTATGTCAAAAATGTTTCTCAGGAAACTGAGATCATGGAAGAAGTCTATGTGCCAAATACGTTGTTTAGAAATTGTTTAAGGCTTCATTGTGTGGGATTTCATTCAAATGTTCCTTGTTTGATTCCTCACCACCACCTTTTAGACCTCAGCTGGCTGAGGGAGATAAGAAGGGTTTGTGAGAACTTGGCTTTACTGGAGACACTAAAGAAACAATTTCGATAACAAGGTTAGCCAACAAATTTCCTTCTGTGGTTGCACACCAAAAATTAGCCAAGAAAGTTGATTTATCTCAAGACTCAATTATGAAATTGTCAGCTACAGCTTTTTTTTATTGTGCCCCCCCCCCCAAATGCAGTTCTCAGAAAACGAAAGGAACTGGAATATTGATTTTTTTACCCACTTTTGAAGAACTTTACCAAAAATGTTTCTGCTTTGTTTCAGACATTGCTGGGATTTTAAATTGGGTTGCCACCCCCCCACCTCAGTGGGATTAGCCACACACTCCACTTTAGTCACTCTCTCTAAAACAAAGAAGCTCAGGTTTTATTTTCACACAGAGGATTTTCAAGGTCTGCTCTTATTGCATCAATTCATGGTGAAAACAACATTCATGGTGGAACCTGCTTTGATATGCCTAAAGAGAAGGAACTGCATCCTGCAGCCTTGGCTCTCTGGAGGTAGGGAGAGGGCAGAGCTGTTGATTTGCTTGCCAAGACTGACCAAGCCCAGGGGCAGCAGGAATGGGAAGAGTCAAGGTCAGGGACAGAGCCCTGTAGCGCCCTGTGTCATGGGTACAGCCAAGCCCTTAACCCAGCTTTATGCAGAACTACAACTGCAGATTGCTCCAAGCTGTTCCCAAGGAAGATGCCATGTAAGGGCTAATTCTTGTAAATCTCTGCACTAATTCCCAGTAAGTGCTGAGCTGGACTGGTCATGGACTGTGTCCAAGCCAGCGGCGACAGCTCTGCTGTTATCTTTCGCGCTTCTCTCTTCTCCTGATGTTTACTCTGCTACTGTGGGTATTGAGACTTTTCAGCCCCTCCATTGTCCATCTATTTCTTTTGCAGGAACTCATCACTGCTTGGTATATCGGGTTCCTGACGCTCATCCTGTCGTCGTTTCTTGTTTATCTGGTTGAAAAAGATGTTCCTGAAAAGGATGCTAATGGGGTGGAGATGAAGGAAGAGTTTGAAACCTATGCAGATGCACTGTGGTGGGGGCTGGTAAGTGACTCAAAAAATACCTTATCCCCTCCTTAAAAACTTTGTATCCAAGAAGAGAAAGTATTGATGTTAGGGATTACTGTATAAGTGCTGCTAAATTTGGGTGAGAGGCATGTTACTGGCATAACATTACCAAAGTAGGGATGCCCCTACAACCAATTAACTGAACTTATATCCCTGTTGATTTTCAGTCAGACAAAGGCTGAAAGGAGGTGCTTAAACCTTCTTCAGAAATCAGCCTATGCTCCTGGCTTCTGGGAAACCTCTTTTCTAGTGGAGTGTCTCTTCAGGTATAACTGCACTGGCAGAGCCTATGTCTATGGGAGGACTAGCTCTCATGACAGCAGTATCCTGCCTGTGAGAGCTATGTCCCTCAGAAAATGGGAAAAACAGAGCTGGCCAATGGACTGTTCTGTTGGGCTAGCAAAGTGCGTCAAAGGTTTGGGCAGTATAGGTAGTCGCTCATGGAAGTTTGGTCCATAAGGAGCCAATGACTGAGGATGTCTCTGGATTCAGATGCAGGAAATAATAGAAAAATGTTTCTGGAAAGGATAACTCAACAATTGTCTTGTTACATGCATTCCCCCAAATCACTCAAAGAATGCTGTTGGTGGTAGGATACTGAGCAAGAGGCACATTTAATACATCTCTTCTTGTCCGTTCTGATGCAGAGAGGAGTATTGGTTTGCAACACTACTCATTTGATCACAAAATTTTCCTGCCACCTGGTAGAGAGAATTCATGTTGCTTTGCTACCAATAGTTAGGGGAGTCTATATCATGCTGTGACTAAAATTCAGCAGCATATTTTTTATTTAATGCAGTTCACTCATAAATGGCAAGATCCCTCCCCCTTACTATTAATCAAAATGTCACTTGTTGCATGCAACACCTGGATATTTTCATATCCTTTCATATCTAGGACAGTTAGGTAGAGTCTCACTAGTGAGAAAATGTACACAGTTGGAAGTCAGCAATTGTGCAGGAAAGGAGTAAGTTTTCACAAAGTCATCTTTGTTTTAAAAAGACTGGGACTTCAGAGACAGGTAGTCCTGACCGGTTGCTAAAGCTCTGCAAGCTGTTAACTGCCAAGTCCCACTCCTAACTGTGCGCTGATGGGGAGCAGGAGACTGACTCTGCATGCAATGTCACGTGGAGTTCCCTCTCAGCAAATGCATCCTAGAAAGGCAGCTGCTTTAAGACTAAATCCATTGTCCATGGTGCAATGCCTCTGGACTATGATGCCATTAAAAAAAAAATTGGTTGGCCCATTGTCAAGATCCTATTTCAAGAAGGTGTGCATAAGCACCCATAGAGCTAAGTGGGTTATGCTGGTTTCATGATGACATTTAAAGCAGATCTGTTGGCTTTTTTTTTCTTATGGGAAGTCCTGGTCATTCTGCCCACAGATCACCCTTGCTACGATTGGGTATGGTGACAAGACCCCCAAAACATGGGAGGGACGGCTGATTGCAGCTACATTCTCTCTCATTGGAGTGTCTTTCTTTGCTCTTCCTGCAGTAAGTACTTTTCCCCTCCTCTGTTAGCCATAGCCCTGTGCTATGCCCTTGCATAAAGAAGGTAAAGTGATCAAAACTGCCAGTGGAATCAAAATCCCTTTTTAAGACGTGATTCAGACACTTGAGCTGGTCTATATCAGTAAATCAAACTCCTTTCTTCCTAATTTTGCATAGAGCCTATTTGGAATAGTATGTCACCACGATACTCCTCGAACCGTGTGTGGGCATTGCCTGGGACAGTGCTAGCTGGCACAGGACAAAATTAATCCGGGAAGTGAACACTCTGGGAAATCACAGGGCAGTTCATGAGCCTCTACCCTGGCTCAGTTTAGTTTACTGGTATTGACATAGCCACGCAACACTTATTTTTAAAGGATTTGAGGCCTGTTGTTTTAATAATTAGGGTTGGGCCCATCTTACCCAGCTCTAAACACTTGCAAGACAGAGATCTACATCTGAGTGATCATCACAGGCCAGTGGTCATCCTTTATAACCAGTGCAGCTCTGCAGAGCATTTCATCTCACCTGTTTCCCTTTTTTCCTAGAGAAGATCTCTGACACCACCACAGAAGTGCTGTTTCTACCCACTAAGACTAAAGGGAATTTAGATAGCAGGTGACAGTACAGGTATTTTTGATCTAGCCAGGTGAATCCTACTCTGGCTGCTTAAGAAATGGTCTCTAAATTGCTTTTGAAAGTATATTTGTTCTGTTGTGTTACATAGGCCAAATATTTGCCTTCTCTACAAAGTCCTCAGGTAAGAATAAGACAAGATCTGGGTGAGATGGACCAAACAGCAACTGAAACAATCCCAAGTCCAGATTTTAGGATATTTTTCCTTTAGATCGAGACTTGGAAAGAATTTCACAGAGGATGGGAAGTCCCACACACCCAAATCCAGAGTATGGTTAGCATAGCTCTTTTATCCCACAAGCAGAGTTTCACTCTACCCTGAGTGGAAAGTAATACACCACCTGGAGACCTCCAGCCTGGAAAGGCAGTAGACATTCAACGAGTCTGTTGTGGACCTTAAAATTATTTGGTGTGGCCTGTGGCCCTTGAGAGGATCATGACAAACTCATTGTCTCATGAGCACAGCAGTGGGAAAGGCATGCTGTACTGCACAAAGGTCCCATGTAGCCATATCCATCTCCATCTACAGACCTGTTTCCTCTCATTATTAATCCATTTTTTCTGTGTAAGAAATGTCTAAAATATTGCATCACTCTATGCTTTCAGGGCATTTTGGGGTCAGGGCTGGCACTGAAGGTCCAGGAGCAACACCGTCAAAAACATTTTGAGAAAAGAAGAAAGCCAGCAGCTGAACTCATTCAGGTTTGCAGCTACTTATCTCCTCCTTGAAAGTGTTGTGTATGAAGACTGCTGCATCATGTTAACAAGGGCCACCGCTTCCTCCCTGCCCAAATTCTCGTTTCCCATTGTGGGAGGGGAGAATCTGTGTTTGTAAAGGAGTCAGTTTTTTCACATTAAGCTAGATAATCTAGTGGTCCTTGCAGTTTTTGAGGAATCTTTCAACTTCCAGAATATCTTTCAGAAGAACAGTGTCTTTAGAAGAAAGGGTCTCATCTGCTAGCTTCTGGAAACCAACCAACTTCTGCATCAGTGCCACGATATCACAGAAAACAAGCTGTCAAAAACATATTCTTTCCAAAATCCAGGTTTTGTTATTTCCCTTGAGAGAGTTCTTTTATGTGCAAACAAAGTTATGTTGCTATTGATGTGAAAACAGCAAGAGAAATAACACAATAGAAACTGACAGTTTCAATCAAGGCAAATGACATACACAGTGGATGTGGTTTGTAAAAACAGAAACACACCCTGGATCTCCTGTTATGCCACTGGACAATCAGAGGATTCAATGCGAAGAGACTCCTTAGCTCACTTGGACTTTGTTATGAATTCAGAAAATTAAGCTTAAAATTACTAGTCAGGGGACTGACAAATTTGACAGTGTTACTCTTAGTAGGTGTGGAGCGCACCCTGATGGCAGTGAAGTAAACTGCAGCATTTACACAGAGGGACCCAGAAAGTTTCTGTGAGATCAGATGGAAGCATTGGTGCTCAGGATCAGACCAGTCCTCAGGAGAAACAGGCTGAGTGGCTTCTTATGCTGTTCTCATTAAAAACACTAGCAAACAGAAGGGGCTGCAGGGATGAGTTGTGAATTGAATTCACCTTTTAAATTAAAGCATCTCCACTTATCAGGTAGCTAATTTAGCTACAGTATTGTTTAGTTATGTGCTTAGAGAATTTTCATTGGACCTGAATGCTGAAATAGAAAATTGCTCAGGAAAATTTCCTCTGATGGTACATTAGATAGTAAACTAGCTTAAGCACTTCCAGAAATATTGGACAAGTCCAGCAGTGCTTGAAGCTCTTTTAGACATACCAGACAGAAGAATAAAACCAGTTTAATCAAATGTAATATCTCCTTGATGTTGGTGGTTCTGTCCATGTCCTGCCTCCTTTAACAGTCCTCCCAGATCATAAGCCAGTGTCAATAATTTTGCCATATAGTAACACTCATTCAGTATGGCTGATTAGTAATTAATTTCCAGATAGTCAGTCAGGTGCATCATTATGTTCTTTGAAACAATCTGGCTGCTGTCAGCCTGGGGAATAGCTTTACCTAACACTAATTATTTCCTCTCCTTTGTACTTCAGGCTGCCTGGAGATACTATGCTACTAACCCCAACAGGATTGATCTAGTTGCTACCTGGAGGTTTTATGAATCAATTGTATCATTTCCATTTTTCAGGTAAGTGCATTGTCCACCTCTCCATCATAATTTTCTGTGAAGTATAAGTCAGGGCAGGAAACATAAACTTTATATATATATTAGCGAGGCTTTTGTAGGAAACAGATAATTGCCAGTTAACTTCCTGGCTGAGAATGAAAAGCATGTTTTTGGCTTCTGGATCCATTTCTTCTCCCTTCCCCTGGTGGGATGTAACAGGGGCACATGGATAACTACATCAGTGGCTCTCATGTTGGCATTAAATAAAGGAGAAGGCTGCGTCACCATCAGCTTCCCTTTGTAACGCTCTGGAGTTTATTGCCCTGGAAATCTCAATTTCTCCCTCTGTAATTTTGATCCTGATAAAGTTTTATCCCGGATTTCAGAGGTGCCTGTATGTCTCACACCCTCTATGATGCAGTTGTGTATTTTAAGATACAGGCTATGCTGAAAATTCTTACTTTTCCTTCTTTAATTCAACTAGTCTGAGAATTGTGTTGTTCACAGAGGCGGCCATGGCATGTGAACATAATTAATGCTTGTTAAATGCTTCTCTTTTGGCAACACTAATTGCTCAAGGGGATGGTTCAGTGGAGGACAGCCAAAGCATGTTTAAAACTGTCTTCCACTGGAACTATGAACTGAAGGTTCACAAGAAAACTTTTCTGGGGAGCTGGGGTCATGGTTTTATTTTAATAACCACTTCTGAGTTCAGTGGAAAGCGTTCCATAAAGACATTCAGACTTAATGGATGCTCATATGTTTATGGATATGAGTCTGTCTGATCCTCACTTTTCTTGCCTGTCAAACAGGCACCTTCCTCACCTTGAGGTCTTAAGATTTTAAAATGTTGTCCCTATGAAAGCCAAGACTTTTAGCTATAGACTATCAGCTGCTAATAATGGGCATTACTTACCCAAGTTTGTGCTTTAAACTTTCATTCTGGACTTGCTGTTATACCTCATTCTGAAAAAAAGTGCCCTTAAACTACTGCTCAGCTCAAACAGAGGTCTCCACATGTAAGTTGTGCTCACTGTACTAACACTGCAGCTCCAGCTGTTGCTCAAACCTGATTTGAAGAAACAGTTCAAGCTCCTGCCTTCACAACGGGCAAATTACAAATGCTAAATCTTTCTTTGTTTTATTCACAATGTATTCCTTTAGGATTGATTTCATGTACATCAAAAAGGAAATTTCTAAGAAAAAAGTGTTTAATTAAGTCTCAGTACATTTCTTTCCTTTCCTCTATCCCTTCTCAGTCTATCTATTCCCACATTATCCATTATAGAGTCATTTCTAGAGGGTTTCTTCACCTCAGATTTTGTTCAGAGAATAATTCTCAGGCTCTCCTGGAGTCTAGACTCATTACTGTGACTTCAAGCTTGTTCATTGTATGTAGGTTCTTCTGTGATTCAAATGCGACCTGAAATTTAATAGGTGTTTTGCAAATAAGGTCCTGGGAGAGAGGGCAAGGGAGTTCACTTCCCACCAAAGACTGGATTGCCGGTCTAAGCGTCACAGATTGGTTTCAGGAACCTATATCACTTTCTTTGCTTTATGGCTTGTTGAAAATGTAGCTTTTATTCTGCTGTCAGTTATGATCACAGAACAAAAGAGGTATAAACTATTAGCAACAGGTTAGTAATTTACGTTCAAAAAATCTACTGAATTTATTATGTCTTTATTCTCTCCTTGCTTTCTTGTATTGCTTCCTCTCTTCTATAAAAGGAAAGAGCAATTGGATGGTACTGCCAGGTATGTAGCTGCTATTATTATAGCCTTGTTTTAATACAGTTATTGGAGGATGCAGGTTAAATGGTTCTTTGTGGATTCATGACCTGTTAACCAAAACATGCTACTAACACCACAGGTAGTCATTAAAAATGATTAACCAATCCATTTCCTAATTGCTTGCTTTTCTCCCAATTTAACAACACAGCTAAAATGCTAATCGTACAAAAGCAGTGTTGCTTGCTGATTGTCTGTAAACAGCTTTATTGTTTGTTATGAATAATCATGGTCTAGATTTCTCCTGATCCATGCCATAGAGTCAGGGTTTAGCATCCAGAACATTCTGGGGTGAATTTAAAGTTCTGCTTCATGTTATTGCTCAACAGTCCTGCGCAGAGCAATGTTGTGGTGTAAGGGACCAAGTCTATATCGATTCACCATGTGCAAAGATTTCTTCACGATAAATAGTAAGATGGATGGCTAAGATGGATCAGCAGGATAGTCAGTCTCTCTGGCAGTACTAAAAAGGCTACATTAGGTTTGAGGCCTTGGTCCCACCCCTCCTGAAACAGATGGGAAAGCTCCCAGTCACTTTGGGGAATTTACAAGCAAAGAGAACGAAGGAATCGTCAATCCTAATACTGGTCAGTCACTGATGACTACAGCAGAGCAATCATTCCCAGTCAACCTGCAAGGTCTCAAATGGAAATGATATATTTATAAACCCCTCCAGCTAAGTTGCAGATTCAAAAGCACATAAAATAATTCAACCTCTTAGGTTGAAAATGTGAAATACTTAATGCTAAACTTCTATCAATGGATCACCCACAATGAAAGTCAATAGCAATTAAAGGATAAATGGTTCCACAGACTCGTGCCGAAGCTATTTCCATTTGCATCCACATTTACAATGGAGAGAAAAAGAGTAAGAATTGTAGAAAAATTTGAAAACTGTTAGTCAGAAGTCAGGCCTGGGTTCCAGTCCCTGGCCTGATGAAAAGTTATCTTTTCGGTTTTTTACACATTTCATGCAACACATGACAGCTTCACTAAAGGAAGCTGAAAAAAACCCAGATTTACACTTGCTGTTCTATGCATTTGGGGGGATCAAACCTCCTTTAACATGAAAGAAAAACCTATATCAAATTTTCTTACAATACAGGCAAGTGCTGTAGTGCCAAGTTATTGGGAAAAGATGACTTCCTCCTCCTGCCACCATTATCACGAGCTAATCTGCTCCTCTTCAAAGACTGCCTGGAGGGGAGTTACCTCATTTGTGAGCCCTCATGAACCTTAAGTACTATACATCCATGACACTGCCCAGGCTAAACAGTCATGAGCAAGCTCACTTGCATTAATGTAGATGTCTGGAGATTTTAGCCACCTCCAGTGCTAGCAGGAGCTGAATTTTGGCCCTTAATATGTAGGAGAGAGCTTAGGAGCTGAAATCCTTTTGAGTATGTAACTCCATACCTTGAGCCAAAACGTGTTCTGACTCAGATGCAGCAGCAGATTAAAATTAGACAAGTGAATGATTGCTGCAGTTTGCTGTTGGTCACAGCCCCCCTAGAGAAGCTCCCGCACCTGCAGTGACAGAACAGTTCATGGAGTAGCTTCTGAGTTACTGTATCTTTCAGGCCAGTAGTAGAAGTCATTTTATGTTGATGCACTGTATTAAAAATGGAAAAGTACGACTCACAGCTCAAAATCTTTAAAACTGTAATCCCAAGGCCCATCTTGCTTTTATGTTGTTATATATGTAATAACCTTCAGCAAAATAATCAGTAAAACTGCATTGGAGCCTTCCTGTTAGCAGGACTGTGTTTATGGAAATAAGCATTCAATAAGAGGGATTGGAAACCCTCCAGGTAATCAGACAAATGATGGTACTTGTGGGAGCATCCACTGACTTCAGTAGACATGGGACTGAGCCATAAAATCTGGTTGTTTTGACAGTCCCACCTCCCATCTCTCATAAAACTCTTATTTACAGACCAGATAATTAAAAAAAAAAAAAAATTCCTCTTCCTCCTACAGTGATTTAGTATAGAAAGTATTACTCGTACTCCACTGCAGTTTGCATTTAAGGCTGTATTGAAATAAATGAGCACTAAGGGAATGCAGTCCTACTGGAGAGAAGAGCCCATAAGTGCACTCAGTCTCCAGGTTCTTGGATCAGTTAAGTACTTAATGGGAAAGCTGTAGTAATAAACCGCATTGTCTGAACGGTGGTTGATAAAGGAGAGAGAAGAATTGGTCCAAAGCTTTCCCAGAAGAGTCGGAAAATTTAACTAGGTAATAAACTAGAAAGGAGGCCTGGCTGTGTGAAAATTTGAGGATGGGTAGTGCTTTAAGTGGCAGGGTTTCTCTTCAGTGATGTGAAAGCTCTTTAGGAAACCCAGAGTCGTAGAGTTGAACTCTGTGACAGATCCTTCTAGGATCTCTCCTCGGAAGCAGGACCTCGCATCATGACAAAGTCACAGCTAGATGTGGCTCCTTGCTCTTAGACCATTTGGGAAAAACACAGGGGAGATAACAGAGTGGAAAAGTCCATTTCAGAAGCTGGATCCCAAGGCAAGGCTGCAGGGAAGGACTTGTGATAGTAGAAAGCCGATTAAAGTTTGGCAGCAGCCCAAGGTTTTATTGAAGCTCCCTTTAAACTAAAACTGTGAAGATGTGAGATATGACGAAGAGCACATTGGACTACCTTTGAACTAGACAGTAGGCCAAGTCCTGTAAGCAGTGAAGGGAATTGGTACATATGATGCTGCTCTGTTAAGAATAGCATTTTCCCTACATGCCCTGTATAGTCCCCCAAACCAGGAGGAACTGGGGCTGTGCTATTCATTGCTCACTGGTGGGGAGTTTAGTGACTTCATGCCAGAGGTGCCACTAGCTTTTTCTTCCTTAATCAATGCCTAAATCTACCAGCCCATGAAATCTCAGATAGCGATTGCTCTTCTGCATGTATTGCAAAGCCTTTTCATCTGTTCAGCTCCCAAGAAGGAAGATTTCTGAGAAAGAGATATTAATGCTTATTTCTGCTGGAGTGCGGCAAATCATTCGGTAAACATTTGGGTGCCCGACTTACATTTAAGGTGGGCCTTTGCTTGATGGACATATTGTTTATTTTGAACCAACTTTTTATGTCTATGTTTGAAGAATGAATTGTGGGCCTGATTTTTCAGCGCTGTTGTTAGCAGCTGTTCCACTGATTTTGACTAGCGTCAAAGCTTTGACACTTGCATATACAAGCACTTTAGCAAAGGATTTTGAACTTTCTCCTAGGGTCTTGCTCCTAATTAGCATTGTCCAACTGTAGAACTAGACATCAGGAGAGCATTTTCATTCCTAGATCTATTATTATTTGATTGCAGAAAAGTAATTTATCTCTGTTTCATTATCTCTAAAAGATAAATAGTATTTCTCTGCCTTTGGAAAGTTGGTTTGATTTTTTTTAAGTGGCAGAATTGGTGCTAGTCCTTCCTATTATGTGAGTATGAAAGAATGCATATGATGTGGTGCATTTTTGTATTGCCAGTAGTAACAGCATAATGAAAATAAAATCATACTTTGCAAGGTGGAAAATTTCAGCCAGCTTTTCTTCTTAATACACCTGCCCAAAACAGGAAGGAGAAAAAAAGCCACTCTGATCTTCACACTTCATTAACTACAAACGAAAGGCTGTTCCCATTCTTCTTCATAGAGCTTTTCATGGGTATTCATTAACCTCTCATCTTAATAACTTTTCTTCACTTTACAGTAATGTCATGTTTAGTAGGGAGTCATTCTTTGGATCAAGCCTCACAAGAAAACTTAGGTATATACATTCAAGTAACAATTGAGCCTTACTCTTTTCGTATTTCTTGCATGCCATTCTCTGCCTGCACTTTCTGTTTTTACTACAGTAGTTCATCTAACCACCATAAAAAGTAAGGTGCGATAAGACTGAAAATTTATTTAAGCATTAAAAGAAAGTTGCATGACCTTGCAGATAGATCATTGTTCCGCTGTTCAGAAAACATGGGATCTAATCCTGGCTCTGCCAACAATCTGCTTAGAAACAAGCGCTTTTCTCTGTTTCCATAGAAGGGGAATGATACTAACCTACTCTGCAAATCATTTAGAAATTTATTGTAAGAAAAATACGCTGTAAGAGCTAAGTACTGTTCCTTATGTAGTCCCAACCCTGTCAACACAAATTCATGCAAGTTACTTTGCATATGAGTTCAGTGGAACACCATCTCCACATGTGTATTTGTAGGTTCTGGTTCAGCAAATGGAAAACAAGTGGATGCTTTTGATCATCTGAATAAAGTCAGTAACATGCTTAAATATCTTGCTGAACTGTGACCTAAGATGTGGGGCAAGAACTTTATCGTCCTGCAAAGAGACATAGAAATAATTTGTGGCATTTCAGGAATCTGAAAGACACTTCATCAGAAATAATAATATTTTGCCTAAATTGTCAAGCATTTTATTCTACGCCACACAAACATCTTGCTGTCATTCAACTTTAGCTCATCATTCTCATTCCCACTTCATTCCACAAACATGAAATCATCAACACACGACTAAGCTTTTCTAGCCTAAGCTCTTCCACTTTTGGTGAGCTGCTAGTGAATCACTCTATTTTTTAATTGGATGATTGGCCTCTGCATAATAGTCAAGAGATTGATTTTGCAGTTTAGTTTGCTTTCCAGTGGTTGATACATGGAGATACGTTCACTGCAAAGTAAAGAGTGTGTCAACATCCATATCGTTTCTACCTACATTGCTGGCTGCATCCATTGGTGAAAAATATCCATCCTATTTTCACAAAGAATTGAACTTGGATTTTTCTCCCCATGGATTTGTGTCACATTGCTTTTTTTTACCCATTTCCAATCACTTTAGAAAGTGTGGATGAGAAGAGGGGCTAAGCAAAGGCCCTTATTATGCATAAGGGCTCTTTCTCTTTCTGAAGGGCATCAAAGTTGAGCCCAAATTAGGACTTGTGTTCATGTTTCTGGGCAAATAATCTG